TGCGCCATTGGTCTGGAAATGTACCTCCTCCTTGTGATAAATTTTTTGTAACACCTTTCACCCTGTCAGCCACGAACAATCTGAAACTTCGTTTCTAAATACGTCAATGTTGCCGCAACGCCACCGTGCATTGTCACTTGATGCGCATCGAGAACTCAGAGTTTTGATAAGTGAATTTCTCTTGGCAAAAAATAGGATGCTTTTCATCAAAGCCTATATTCTTCCACTGAAACCTCCCTTTCACTCTTAGGACAGCATGTTTTTCTTCAAAGATGTTAGTGCCGTGTAGACTCATGTTGTATATATGTGCCGCTGTACTTTGTAACGCCCTATGCTCCTGCTTTATCAGCACAAACTCTACCTTGTACAATTCTTCTCCTGTGAGCAAACCTGTTTTCCTGAATGTTTTTTTTAGATTTTCTTATGTACATGAACTGAAGTATGTAAAAGCAGTATAAAAAATAAATCAGTCAAAAATACTGTTGCAGCATAACGACGATTCGTACCAGTGACCTCTTGCTTCACGGCCCACTCCGCTAGCCAACACAATAAACCGTCATTTTTTTGTCTTTATTGGCTTGCATATCAAGACAATGACATACGCTACAAAATACAAGCTTGAAGATTTTTCTACCACCAACGCTTTTACATGTTATTTCAACTTTAAAACTGCCTTTGAGTCGCCTAAAAATCAAGATTGCCCCCTTCTATACTATTCAGGTATATATATACAAAAACATGAGGTACACGAGACGCCCGACGCCACCGCGTGGCACGAGACGCAGTGGGGATATTCAACTTGCCCCAATTTATAAGAAAAAAAATCACATTATATCTACAAAGTGCGTGATGATGAGTGAGGCGAAGCATCCGTCCATCTATTCGTTCGCGCAACCGTCTGTGCGACCACCCATGCATCCATCTGTGCGTCCGTCAATATGTTCTTTCGTGCGTCCGTCCCTGCGTCCTTCCATGTGTTCATTCGTCTAAGCACACTTGCGTTCGTCCGTGCATCTGTCTGTCTGTTCGTCTATTCATCCGTCCGTTCATCTAGTTAACACTCCAAGTACCGCAATTTGGCATCTTTTCATAATATATTCAGCATATACAAGTACCGGCACCCAGCGGACATTCCAAGAACAAAACGAGAAGTGGCACGCGCGCTTTTTTACGGCCTGCGCTTCGTGTTTATTTCCTACCTTTCACCCGTGCTAAAGCCTTGATAAACCTTGTTAAAACCAAAAAGGTTACACCCAGCGAGTTTAGCATGGTAATCCTTTCTGTTCAGATAGTGCTCAATGTGCGTCCTTCTTGTAATATCTTTTTAGTAAGCATCAAATGCAAAGTTAATTTTATTAGATATTAAGTCATGAATCTTCGTCTTTGTAAGTTATTTCATCAGAAACAATCACGTTTTTATTTATAATTAACGTGCGCGGTTTTGCTCCTCAATTAAAAAGGGTGCGTGCGTGTAGCTTCTCTAGTCCTGCCGCGGAGGTGGCTACCTGCTGCTATGACGATGACTACATACATTGCACGACCCACGACCTAGGAAACTTTGCCCCCCTCCCCCCCCCAAAAAAAAAATAAAACAGCGCCAGCTGAAGCATTGTGACATTTTTGGGGCGTTCCTCAGGTACAAGCACGTAGCAACTATTTTGGTGTTTATACTCGACGACAACTTTCTGTGGCAGCACAGCCAAAGCTACGTAGTTGGAGCTTTTGCACATGTGTTATTTTGCCACGTAGTCCGTTTTCGTACGATTTCAGTTTTGGTTTCGCAAGTACATCTAACATCTACTTTTTCGCTCGACCACCCTGCAATAAATAAAATGCAATAATAAAAGGCACTAAATGAAATGTTTCTTTTTAAAGGGAGAGAAAGCAAAGCTTTTTTGAAGTGGTTGAGATTTATTCCAGAAAAAAAAACAGGGCACAGCCGAGCAGGTACTGGGAGATTGGAACAACGCAAAGCAGAAAAATCATTTTTTTAACTTTCAGCGCATACTTGATCAACATGATTGTTTTCCTTCTTTTAAAGACGCAAGAACTAACTGGAGACGCTCATGTTATTTTTCGAAGGATGCAAACACAACGATGAGAAGCAGAGATATTTACATCGATCAGTCATCAGCGGGCGTAGGACGTTTGTAATTACAAGTGGGTGAACGGAATCTTTCGTCATATCAGAACGCTGTTTTCGCACACTCAACAGGGCAATATACATGAACGCGTCTATTACCCAGCCAGAGCGCAAGAAACGGCTTCCTCAATAGACGCCGAACAAGGAGGATTAAAAAAAATTGCTGGAGTGAAGCTCCCGCAATGCCTTGCCAGCAGAAGTGAAGCCATCTTCTGCCACTGCCAAGAAGCGGAACATGCTCTTTTCTGATAGTGCCCATTTAGAAATCAAGTGGCTTTGATATGTTAGTGTTAATTCTACGTTATTTCTAAATTAAAAGACAGTTGTTCCAGACGAGATAGCACACAAAAACGAGTATGGGTGACTGATTATTCAAAGGGCTTTGCCTCCGATCGGAGGCTCACTAAGAAAAACCAGTAACTCTAAGACGCACTTGGAGCACTATGTGACCCGAAAAAGTTTCCACTTTACATTCATTGGGCGTGCGAGTGCAAGGCTTCGTTCTTAATCGCCGAACGGTGATACTTTATCATGCCCCTAGTAAGGTGGCCGCCGCAGCCGCCACCTTGCCAGATGCACGGCTTCACTCCTAGGCTACGATTTCCCTTCCAGCAATTTTTAAATCATCCTTGACGCTGAAGGGAGCGCTGTTAGGGTACGCAATCTTCAGCGTTATCGCATCAACAATATCAGGTAGCCGAAACACCAGCCACGTACGCAACGCAATTTAGGAATATGGTCAGTGGTTCTGCGTACAGTTTCCAATCACATTTTTTCTTCCAAGCAGCTGCTGTTGCTGAAGACAGGCAGGTCGCTGGTGTCACTTTTAAGGTGGCTACAGTGATTAGAGTCCCAGTTTTGCTGAGGATATTGCTCGCACACAAATTCTCGGTGATTCCATGTGTGAAAAACAAAATATTTCACGATGCACCACTGTCATCCCTTCTCGCTGCTCGATGAATACAGATCGCTTAACGAACACGCACTCATGCGCGCTTACAAGCTTCGATGTGAGCTTCCTGCAACCGAATGGCGCCATCGTTGTTTACCGGGGCAGGAAAAACGGGAAATGGCACGCGAAAAGCAGACTAGACACAGCAAAGGACGAAAATCCTACATGGGTTATGCTCCCTAATGATATTGCGAGCATTCTTGAACATATTATATGAATATTTGCTTTTTATGTTTTGCATTATGCTATGCAGTATAGAAAAGTTAGCGTTCGTGGACCACATTCAGAAGCGTAGTAAAAAAGGGCGTACTTGGGCTTCGTAGCCTCAACGGTCTGCTACCACGGAAAGTTGTCGCCAAGTATAGTACACACTTGCCGAATGTATACCTACGCCCTCTTTTCGAGCGTCCTTGTTTGTGCTGAGTGGCATGCTGAAAGTATCGAGCTACTTGCCGCTGTTCGTGTGATATTGAAATTACTTGCTATTGCAGTCGTTTTGAATGCGAAGCAAGTTTTTGGGTGCCAAAAGCACTTGTGGCATCTATCTATCTATCTATCTATCTATCTATCTATCTATCTATCTATCTATCTATCTATGTGCATATCGAATAATCCATCTACCTACCCGCCTAAGTCTGGGTGCTCGCATGATCACCACCTCAGCTTGGAGAGAACCATGATTAGTACGAGAGGGTAACATAATTTGACGAAAATCAAATGCTAGCCACGGCACGAATAATGTCACAATCTAGTTGCGTACGTCGCAAAACGCTTTCCAAATAACAGTGGCACGTACACATGAGTGGGAATGTGCCACAGAAGTTAGACATTTTATACCTACCAAGGAACGACGAGAACATACATGGATAACTTTAACGCTTGAGCGTTAAGAAAAAGCTGATATATGCAGGGTCGACCTGACGAATGCAAAGAATAAATGTCAGTGTCCCAGCAGCAATCCAACTCTAGCATTTTGCTTGACACTCAAGTATTCCACCGCAGAGCCACGCCAGACGGAAATATTTTGGAAATAGACCATACCTTTCTTGAAACGTCAATTATGGTTGCAGTGCTGGTTATCAAAGTTCTTAAGCATTACATATGTATTTCTATCATAGAGCAGTTATGTCGCGTTAACCTTAATTCAAGTTAGGTGCCACCCACTCAGCTTTATTTGTGTAGCAGCGTTAAGGGCGACCATCCTCGTGAGCCTCAGCGCATACGCCGGCGCTTCATATCAGCTCACAACTTCTGTTTTGCTAATATGCATGTCGCTATTGGCACCATTACGCAACTGCATACAACTGGTAATATAAAACATATGCGGCTCTTTAACGTATCTGTGTGCGTGTATTATACTTGTATTGAGAACAACATCATAGTGCCTCGCTCAATAAAAAAATAAAGAACATTCGCCTTGCAACAACATGCTTCGCATATCATCGACTCAAGATACGTGAGATCTGCTGAATTTATTCGCCCGAGGGGTGAAACTGATTTTTTTATCCTTTTACATGCTGTTCGCATAAAGAAAAAGTTCATATGAACCCTGGCGATCTTCCAGTATGGGTTTTTTTGTCCGTTTATATTTGCATTAGGAATGCATACAAATGTCAAAATATACTGGATCAAGTTTCTGCGTTATGTGCTTTTTTATATTAACGTGGGATTCTATAGCCCATGGCTAAATAACACCCCTACACGAAAGCATCTCCCGTGCCTGGCACCGCACTGGGCTTCCGTCCTGAAGAGCCACGTTTGATGTATGGTGGACACACGCACCTCAAAGCACGCAATCTTTCACTGTGGGCAGAAAATGTCAACAATAAAGTATTTTTGCACCACTAATAAAAATGAGCCTGATTTCCCGAGTAGGCAACTGCTAATGATGTTGTTTGTTTCCAGTTGTTCGAGCAGAACAAGACCGTATGGACTTATTTCTCATCTTGGAATGACACTTACACGTGCAAGAGAGAGGTCATGAAAAACATAGGAGGGAGCACTTTAGAATTGCAAATTTTTTACAGCAAGAACAACCGAACGTAAGCCTATAAAACCGCATGTGCTCACTGAATCTTCAAGTCACTAACGTTCTGACGTTCCTTTTTTTGCAGCCACAATTACACCGTTAATGGTACGTTATCTAACGTTCAGGCCAAGGGCAGTCCATTGAACGCAATTTACATGAAGGACAGTAAGTACAATGCTGGCTTCATATCATTGATTAACGTATGTGTTTGGTTGACCTAACAGTTCATCGTCAGGGAAAGTGAAACAGTGCTGGCATAAACACGAATTCATAAACGCGAGCTGACACAAGCAAGCACTCGCATTGAATGCAATTTTTATTCATATATAAAAGACACACATGAGTAGCGATACAGCATGCGGCAATGGCCATGCGTTTTTGCAGTAGCAATTATATATAAACCCTAAGCGGTCTTTCTTTACTACGGATATACATCCGTATATATATATATATATATATATATATATATATATATAAATATTAGAGTCCCGCTCACGGCAAGTTATTTTTTCACCCAATTTTTTTTTCTATTTACATTACATTGGTTCTAATAACTTCCCTTATGCATTCCTTAGCATTATTGTCTGTTAGATCTTATTATTATTGTGTCAAAACTCGGAAAAACTAGCCCTTAAGTATATACTTCTTTTCCTTATATATATATATATATATATATGTGTGTGTGTGTGTGTGTGTGTGTGTGTGTGTGTGTGTGTGTGTGTGTGCGTGTGTGTGACGCTATGATGACTGGCAGACGTGGCCTGGCTCATACGCCATATATATATATATATATATATATATATATATATATATATATATATATATATATATATTGAAATACGATGGTTCAGCTGACGCTTTATTCAAGCAACAGCAAGATGGCGCCGATGATGAAGAGGAACGAAACGAACACTGATGATGGTTATTGACAGATGAGGAAGATGACGTCCAATGAATTCATACACTAATTTCCACCGTCGACGGTAGTGGCCAGTCTGGCCGCGAATAACGCTGTGGAACACTTATGATAGACCTTGAGACGCCAAACGTGCACAATCTCTGTTCCACGGCAGCGTTGGTAGGTGGGGGCATGAACAGGTGTGACATGGTAGTTCACCGGTGAGGTCTGTTCGACAACTTTGTAGGGGCCGAGATAGCGTGACTCAAGCTTCTCGCATAAGCCAGGCGTTCGCGCAGGAGTCCACAGAAGTACATCGCCGCCAGGGCGGTACAGAACGACGTGGTGAGTGGCATCGTAACAATGTTTGCGATCTTCTTGGCTAGCTTCGGTGTTTACACGGGCAAGACGACGGCATTGAGCAACACGGGACAGAAACTGGTCACAAAAGAATGGTGAAGAGTTGACGGGGCCAGAAAAGAATGAAACGTCGAGTGGTGATGTCGGTTGGCGCCCGTATACTAAGATAAATGGAGAATAGCCTGTGGTTCGTTGAACTAACGTATGATATGTATACGTGACAAAGGGAAGTATGGCATCCCAATCGCGATAGTTCGGTCGGATATATATGAACAGCATGTCAAACAGCGTGCGCTGAACTCTTTCCGTTAAGCCATTGGTTTGTAGTTGATAGCTATATGTTTTATGAACTGTTTTGGATGCTTGAAGAACTTCACTGAGCGTGCTTGAAAGAAATGCCTTGCCCCGGTCGCTCAAAAGAACACGAGGGGCTCCGTGACGTAAGTAAATAGCACGCAAGAAAAAGTTGCTACTTCCGAAGCAGTTCCTGAAGTGTTCAAGGCCGTCTCAGCGTACCGGGTCAAGTGATCAACCGCGGTGACGATCCATCTCTTGCTGTCTCGATTCCGACGACAAAGGACGATTCCGACGACAGAGGACGGCTCTGATGGACAAGGAAAGGGCTCGTAGGGTCCCGACTGGAGTAGTAGTGGGCCGCTTGCGGTGTTGGCAAAGTGCGCACGAGGCAATATATTTAGCTACCGTCGTGAAAAGACCTGGCCAGAAGAATCGACTGCGAATGCGCTCGTCTGTTTTGTAGTAACCCAAGTGTCCTGACGTCGGGTCGTCGTGGGAAGCGCGCAGAACTTCAGTGCGTAGTGCGCGTGGTATGACGGGAACCCTTCGGTGACCTTCCGCGTGGAAAATGTATCAATATAGCACATCGTCCTCCAATTTGAATAGACGGAGTTGTTTCCGCAGCCTGGCCTTTGGGCAAAATGAAGCGCCGGTAAGCCGAGCGATGATGTTAGTGCAATAATAATCGGCTCGCTGGTGAGTGGTAAGTACTGATGGACGGGTGTATGAAGGTAGGACAGAAATGGATGATATCGACGAGGCGTCCTCCGTATAGCCAATTTGACAGCGGCAGAGGACATCGTGACAAATGGTCGGCATCTTGGTGTTGTCTTCCAGTCTTAAAGATGACGTCAAATTCATATGATTGTAAACGAAGAATTCATCGGCCAAGTCGTCCCGATAAGTTTTTGGTTGTGGACAACCAGCAAAGAGCAGGGTGGTCTGTCACAACGGTAAACTTTCGACCTTGTAGATGTGGGCAAAATTTTTGGATGGACCAGACAAAGCCAAGCACTCTTGTTCGGTTATCGAGTACCTCTTCTATGCAGAGGTCAGAGTGCGACTTGCATACGCGACAACTTTCTCGCAAAAGGCATGGTCGCGCTGGAGGAATATGGCGCCGATTCCTTGTCCACTAGCGTTAGTGTGTAATATCGTAGGTGCTTTGTCATCGAAATAACAAAGCACTAGTGGGGAAGTCAGTGCCTGCGAGAGTTCTTGAAAGGAGGCTTCGCATTGATCATTTCAATCGAAGGAACCGGTACTAGCAAGGAGCTTGCGGAGAGGAGCGGCAATAGTGGCAAAGTTGCGAATGAAGCGGCGAAAGTACTATGTGAGTCCAAGGAAACTGCGTAGTTCTTTGGAACGAATGGGTCGCGGAAAATTGAGGACTGCGGAAATTTTGTCCGGTTCAGGCTGGATGCCATCTTTACTAACGAGATGTCCTAGAACTTTTATAGCTGTGTTGCCGAAATGGCACTTCTTTGTGTTTAGTTGAAGTCCAGCATTGCAGAAACTTATGAGCACTTGATCTAGGCGTTGCAGATGATCAGCGAAAGTGGAAGAAAACACGACTATATCATCAAGGTAGCATAGACAAGTTTTCCACTTGAGGCCACGAAGAACAGTGTCGATCGTCCTTTCAAATGTGGCTGGAGCATTACATAGGCTGAATGGCATTATGTTAAACTCGTAAAGACTATCCGGCGTAGAAAAGACGGTCTTTTCTTTGTCTGCTTCGTCCATTGGTATTTGCCAATACCCGGACCGAAGGTCAAGGGTGGAGAAGTATTGGGCGCTTTGCAATGAATCAAGTGCATCACCTATACTGGGCATCGGATATACATTCTTTCTGGTAATCTTGTTGAGCGCGCGGTAATCAACCCAAATCGTACCACTCCATCCTTCTTTTGTACCAACGCAACGAGTGATGACCAGGAACTGGTAGAGGGTCGTATGATGTTTCTTTTCAGCATATCGGTCACGTTCTCCTCAATGATTTTGCGCTCGGCCAAGGAGACTCGGTAGGAACGACGGCGTACAACAGTCCGACCTTCAGTGTCGATGTGATGATGCGCAGCTGTGGTCTGTCCTAGTGCTGAAGCATTGGAGTCAAAGGAGGCCTAGTGTTTCGTTAGCAAATTTAGCAACGCCTCACCTTGAGAAGCAGAAAGGTCAGACTTTATCCCGGGAGCAAAGGAGTTGGAAGTAACAGACTCGGTCTGTTGTGGCTGAGCTCTCAAGGCGTCAAGAAAGACCAAAGATACAAGTTGGGTATCCACATACCACGACACTGCAGAACCTTTGGGTAGGAGGACAGGCTCAGGGGTAGGGTTCAGGCCAAGGATTATCGCAGCACTGTCTTTGAACCGCACCAGGCTGGAGGGGACTACACCACGAGCTAGACTGTGGCTGGAAGGGGTGATAAGGACGTCACCATTGGCAATATTCGAAGAAGTGATGGTGATGAGTTGCTCCTGATCCGGGAGCAGTATGGTATCGGAAGCTGTGAAAAAACGCAATGGTTTTTCGTCGACGCGTCCGCTGCAGTGATTGGTCTTGGTCATCTCGACTACACGTTGGCGGCAAGAAATTAATGCAGAAGCTGATGAGAGGAAGTCCCAACCTAAAATTAGTTCATGAGCACATGAAATTAAGACAGCGAAGGTGATATGATGACGAATACAATCAATGAAGACACGCGCTGTACATTGCGCCGATGGTGTAATTAGTGCTCCATTGGCCCCAATAAAAGATGATCCAAGGTAAGGTGTCCTCACTTTCCGCAATCTAGAACACAAGTCGGCACGCATAACTGAAATTATTGCTCCCGTGTCCAGCAAAGCCAACACCCGCACACCTTACACAGTCACCAGTAACATGTTTGACGGTCGTTCAGGAGGACTGGGGTCTTTTCGCCGCGATGCAGTTTTCCCTCCAAAAACTGCACTGTTTAGTTTTCCGATCACTGGGCAGCCAGTTGAGAGACAGGTCGGAGTAGTGAAACAGGGCGTCGAAGTGGCGAAGGGAAGCGTGGTCGGGAGGCATGTGTATTGTTTGTCGTGTTGGAAATGCGCAAAGGAGACGGGGATTGGTGGTTGGAAGGACTGTCGGCATAGCGGTAGTAACCTCGAGCACATGTGTCGTCTCACTCAAAAGCGGCATAACCACGGCGTTCATCTTGCTGCCGACGTCGACAGACGAGGGAAATGGGTCCTCGAATTCCACAGTAGTAGCAAATAGGCCATGGGGCCCACCAGGAAGAATGGTAGGTAGGGTTCGGTGGATGGGTGATTAGAGGTGCGAGATGTTCGTGATCAGGCACAGGTGGTGGTACTTGAGACGGCGAGGGTTGCATTGAAGCGATCTGTGCATACGAAGTGGGTTGGGGCATCGTGGAGCACGGTGGGTGCTTTGGAACGCTGACATTTCTTCCCTAATAGTGCCATGCAGATCGCTAGAAGAGGGTGGAGCAGGAACGTTGTTAAAAGGAGGTAAACTGTAGGCTTTCAGTTCCTCACGAATTATGGCTCGAATGATGGATCGCAGCTCTATACTGTTTGCCAGGGGTATCTCAGAGAAGTCGGGTCGCAGGCGGATTGACTGGAAG